CACATCATGACTCCATGCCACATATCCCTTAATGGTCACCTGAGTGCCTCTGACCTACAAAATTCTCTTGGTGCATCAGCATCATTAGTGACACTGACTTCCTCTTCCCCTACCTCTGCTGAGCTAAGCTCCTAATTCTTCTTACCCAGCCTATTTCCCATAAGTCTCCTGCTATGCCCCAGATGTGGGAATTCCTGTCATAGCCCGGTTGCCTAGTTACTTGTGCCTTTTACCTGCCGACGTCATTTCCTATGCCTCCACTATATATACCCAGCACCTCCCCTGCATAAATGAGACTTGATCAGAATCCTGTCTTGTCTCCATTTCTCACCTCTCCTGTCCTTTGTACCCTCCTCAATTCCTCGCTCCTCTCCCAGGTGACCTTCATTGACTGACCCGCTGGTTTGGGACAGATAATAGTTTGCACTATAGAGAAATAGAGACAGAAGGCACCAAAGTTCTCCATAGGAGATGGGTCCCAGAGGAAGGTAGATCTAGCACACAAGAGTCTCCTGCCACTGTTCTGGAAATGATTAATTGATCCCCACAGAGTACACAACAGGACTCACTCCCTGGAGGCTCTGCTTATATTATCTTTACTTCTTTATCAAACACAGAGATCTTTATGTTTTCCTATTTCTTGATAGTTATAACAGCAGCAAGCACCTCTGATCTTTAGGTAGATCCAACATTCTCAGAGTAATTTCAAGTTTGGATTACCTTTTGTGTAGATGGTCAGAGAAGAAAATAAGCATATCAGAGATAGAAACATTATGACCTTCTAAGCAAAGCTGCCTTTCATTTTCTTTGATTTACAGGTGTGTAGCAAATAATCCTTAAGTGTGAGCCCTAAATGAAGAACTTCCTATGTAAGAATCCATTGGTCTTACTGTGAATGGTTCTACCTGGGGAGATATGGTGACAGGAATAAGAAAGATAGAACAGAAGACAAAAACTGGGCTAGCTGGTAGCTAGTCTGCCTGATGGGCAAGATTCATGTGCTAACACAATGTAACATTTATTTATACCTCTTCAAAGTTAGTAAAAAAATGACACAAGGTTGCCTAGTGATTAGTAGCCAGCATTAAGCAGTCAGAATGCTTATCTCAGGACTATCCTTGGTAGCTTGTTTGCTTTAGGCACTGAGGCTTGGCCCCATCTACACACCTTAGACTGATTTTCCAGCTTCCGTGTCTCTCTATATTCCTATATACTATCATATTCAAGACATTAAGGTAAAACATCTTTTGGTGAAAATGTTGCTCTATCCATTTTTACAGTTAGAGGAGCTGGAGAAAAGCTTATGTAATTGAGTAGAAAAGCTTTCTGCAGTTGAGGAAATATCTTGTAATTTAAACCCTAGGTTTTTCAGTGGTTCTAAGTCCATTGCTTTTCTCCTGTACCTTAACAGTCTACAACTTCATACAAATAGTGCATTTTTCCTAGCAGTTTGCAAAAATTGGACAGATATGAGAATCTTCTGTCCATACTAAGACAATTGGCTATGATGTTGAAATCAAATACATAATATGTTTACCAATGTATCTTCTTAGACTATCATTGGAACTAAATTATGACACAAGAGAAATGAAGAAGCCTTAATACTGCATATATCTTTAGCCTAGCATCTCTAGGATCTCAGGCTTTTAAATTATTTCTCTCCCAACTTTTCTACTTTTCTAAGCTCTGATTAGGGTGAAAATGTGGGTTGTTTGGGGAATGGTAATCAGAACAAGAATCTTATACACATAAGAACAGCATTGAAAGCATTCTACTAATATTAGTTTTCCATTTTGTAAAAAATTGGAGGAATCTGCCTACTACTGTGGCAGCTCCTGCTCAGCATGTGTTAGGTACATCCCTGTACTGGTCTCTGAACTGGGCAATCAAATAGTAAAAGTTATGAAGCTCTTAAAGTAAATATCTGATTCTTCACTATCAAGTTTGTTAGGTCAAGCACCAAATGATGGTAAAGAAAATCATATCAATACTTTCTTGTGTACTGAGGCACCACCTTGTCACACCAAGGGGTAGCTGGCATAGATCTTTTGGATTCACATATAAATAGTGTTTGATTGTTACTTTGCCATCTGCAGCCTTCTACACTGCCCATCCATTATGACCAGATCTTGTTGCACTGATTTTTTGTTAGGGTGCTGGATACTTGTCTTCCTGTGGGTCTTGATGTTCATCATCATTTTCAAAGTGTCATTTTGTGGCATCAGGATAATTGATCATTTCCTGTGTGATCCAGGTCTTCTGTTCACCCTAAGTTGCAGAAAAACTCCTCTGGTAGACCTTGTTATCTCTACCTTAAATTATCTTCCTTTTGTTATTCTCTTGCTTTTCATCATGGTGTCTTATGCTTTGATCTGTAAAGCAGTACTGAAGGACTCTTCAGCAGCTGGGAAGGCTTTTATCACCCCCGGGTTTCACCTGGCAGTGGTTTCTCTGTTGTATTGCTCAGTACTAGTCATTGATGGGAGTTTGGCATCTGAGCCTATGCAGAATATTGTTACTCTCTTTTATTCTGTTTTAACCCATCTCCTTAACCCTGTGATATATACTCTTAGGAACAAAGATATATAAAAAAAGCAATTCAGAAGTTTCTGTGAACAGGAGCTTGGGAGATAGCTCAGTAGAATAAGAGCTTGCCTGGCAAGTGCAGGGTCCTGAGTTCCATCTCTGTTACTGAAAAAAAAAAAGATAGAAGTTTCTGTGAACATAAACAGCACTAATTAAAAATGCTTTGGATGATTAAATTGTATTTTACTTATTTTTAGTATTTTTCTCATTAAAAACTACTTTATTGGGGGCCCAGCAAGATAGCCTAGTGATCTATAGTGCCTGCTTAGGCAAGCTTAGGCAAGCACAGGCACCATGGTTCCATCTCTGGCAGTGCATGCCATGCCATCCCCATCCCCTTGGTGGGCTGAGCCAGCCACAAAAACTACTTTATTGGTAGTTATATGAAAATGAAATAGAAATATAAAGGGAAATGTACTGTCTAGTTTTTCAAACTAGTCCAGCAAGACTAAAATAAAATCAGAGATTAAAATGGGATACTTAAGATCTTTAAAACCAATTATTATTTTATATAGTAAACTTTTTAGCCCAAGGGAGAAACATTTGTCTGCCTATTGGAGGCCTTTGTAGAAATTGCAAACTGAAAAGCTTGGGAGTACCCAGGACATCAGATATTTTAAAAACTTGTTTGATGCCACATTGGTGGCACACCGTGGCAAATCCTAGCACTCAAGAGGTTGAGGCAAGAAGATCACTATGAGTTCAAGTCCAGCCTTGACTCTAAAGAATGCAAGGTCATCCTGAACTAAATAGCCATGCCCTGCCTCAAAACAAAACAAAACAAAACAAAACAAAACAAAACAAACAAAAAAACTCCACTTAATTCATTTTGAATTGGGTCTTTGAATTTGGGGAATGTGATTTTATTTCATTCATTTTTATGTTCTAAATATAAGTCCTTTGTCTGAGACACAATTGGCTAAATTGTTTCCCAGTTTGTGGGTCTTCTTTTTACTCTGTCGGTGATTTCTTTTGCTTTGAAAAATCTTCTTAATAAGATGAGATGCCAGTTGTTGATTCTTCGAACTATATCCTGTGCAGTCTGAGTTTTGTTCATGAACTCTACCCACGTGAGGCATGTGGTACCTGGGATAGAACTGTGGTCACCTGCGCCTTCTTAAGCTTGCCTAAGCAGGTGCTTTAGACCACTGAGTTATCTCGCCAGCCCTAGTTCAGTACCATGCTTTTATCACAGTAGCTTTGTAGTTTATTTGCAAATCAGGGATTGTAATGCTTCCTTTCTTATCTTTGTTGGCTACTCTAGATCTCTAGAATAGAGACTGCTATTCTAAATCTCTTCTATTTTCAAATGAATTTTAGGAGAGTTTTATCTAGTTCTGTGAGGCATGCTAATGGTGTTTTGATTGGGATTGCATTAAATCTATATAACAATTTCAGGAATATGACCACTTTCACTATGTTGGCTTTAATTTTCCATGTACAAGTAATATCTTTCTTTATCTTATATCCTTTTTTGTCTTTTATCAGAGAATTGTAATTTTCAATTTATGTCAACATTTAACTTTTTTGTGACATTGATTCCTAAGTATTTCATTTACTTGGATGCTATTGTGAAGGATGTGGTTTAAATAATTTTTCTCTCAGTGAATTTGTTGGTTGTGTACAGGAATGCAATTGATTTTAGAATGTTGACTTTGTTTACAGCTACATAACTGATTTCAGTTATTGAATCTAGAAGTCCTTGAGTATAAATTTTGTGATCATTATGTAAAGTATCATGTTATCTGTGAATAGTTACAATTTAAATTTTTCCTTTCTTTATTCTTTTTATTTGTGTGTCTTGAATAATTGCTCTGGCTAATGTTTCCAGAATCATACTAAATAGTCGTGGTGATAACAGACATCCTTGTCTTGTTCATGATTTTAAAGTTTTCAGTTTTGATCATTTAGTATGATGGTGACTTTTGTTTTGCAATAGCTGGATTTTATAGACTGAGATAAAGACCATCTATTCTGATTTTGTGTATGATTTTTATCAGGAGTGAATGCTAGTCTGTGTCAAAAGTTTTTCTTCATCTATTAAGATGATCATGTGATTTTTTTTTCTCTTTGGCTCAGTTGATATGGTGTGTTACATTTCTTGATTTGTTATGTTGCCTCTATATTTTCATTATTTGTAGCTGTTGTTTAATATCTTCTTTAATTTAATTTGTAATTATTTTGTTGTTTAATACCTTCTTTAATTTAATTTGTAATTATATTGAACAATCATTGGTTGTTCACGTAGGTATCATTTAAATATGTTTGTTAAGTTTTTGCCATTTCTTTTGCCATTAATCTCCAATTTTATTATACTATTCTCAGACATAATCGGATGATTTTGATACTTGTGTTTTCTTTTTCCTTTTTATTTGCAGAACTGGGGATTGAACTCAGTCCCTTGTGCTTGCCAGGGAAGCACTTATTTCACTGAGCCATCTCCCTGGCCCCATCTTCTGTTTTCCTAAAGCATGTTTTAGGGACTAGTAAGCGGTGTATTTTAAAGTATTTCTCATTTGCAAGTGAGAAGGAATACATACTGTGATGTGTGAAACACTCTTTAAACATGTACTAAGTTAATTTGTTCACAAGTTTGGTTCAATTTTGATAGTTCCTTACTGATTTTTTTTTCTTTTTGGCCTGGCTAATCTACCTATTTGTGACAGAGAGTATTATGGTCATCCATATAATTTGTCATTGCTCATTTGATTTTTGTGTCCATTAATATTTATCTTATATAGTTGGGTGCTCTCACATTTGATATATATCATTATTATCTCTTCCTTTTGAAGATTTCCCTAAAGGACATGTCATGACCTTTTTTAAAATCTCTTTTTATCATTCTTGTTTGAAGTTTACATTGTATGCAAACAAAATAACTACTCCTGTTTTTTTTTTTTTTGCTGCGTTCCTATTGCAAGCAATATTGTTTTATTCCTTTGATTTTTCAGTCTATATTTTTTTTAGTTAAATATGTTTCTTATATACAACATATTGTTTGATGTTTTTCTTTGGTCCTTTCTGTCATTCTGTTTCTTTTGAATTGTCAATTCAGTCCATTTGCATTGGTGATTATAACTGATATGTATTGGCTTATCTTTGGCATGTTATTTTTCTTGATGTTGGTTTTCTTCTTTCTTTCTTTCTTTCTTTCTTTCTTTCTTTCTTTCTTTCTTTCTTTCTTTCTTATAGGGTACTGCTACACAGCTTGGATTCATAGTAGTAATCCTGTATCAGTCTCCCCAGCACTGGCATTACAGGTTTGTGCCACTGTGCCTCATTTTTATGCCTGGCATGGCATTCCCAGGCTTTGAGGGCCAGTATAGCATGTAGTACAGGGAATTAAACCCAGGTCCTTGCACATGCCAGGCATGTACTTAGACCATGGAGCTATCTCCACAGCCTGTTCTGGCTAATTTCTTGCCCTACATAGTTATTTCTTTCTATTGTTCTTAGAATTCTTTTAACCTTTATTTCTTTTCTTTCTTTCTTTTTCCATTTTGCAGAACTGGGGATTGAACTCAGGCCATTGTGCTTGCCAGGAAAAGCATTTATTCTACTGAGCCATCTCCCTGGCCCCTTCACCTTTATTTCTGTTTAGAGTATCTTTCATTAATCTTTGTATGGTTGGTTTGGTGGTCATGAATTTCTTCAGTTATTATTTGCCATGAAAACATCTTATCACTCCATTAAATTTTATTGATAGTTTTGCAGAGTACAGCAATCTGGATTCCAAGTTGTTGTTTTTTTTTTTTTTTGTTGTTTTGTTTTTGGATTTAAAATATTTCATGCTATTCTTGACTTGAGGGCTTGTGTTGAGAAGTCTGCTCTGTTTCTGATGAGCTTTGCTTTATAAGTATTCTGCCTTTTTTCACTAACAGTTTTAATATTCTGTTTTTTTTCTGACTTTGGGAATCTTGATTATTATATATCCTGATGTGGACTTATTTTGATTATAGCTGATAGGAGTTCTGTATGCCTTACATACTGTAGGTCAGTTTCTTTTCTCATGCTTAGGAAATTTTCTGCTATTACTTCAGCAAATGAGTTTTTAATGTCATTTGTGTTGACTCTTTAATTGACTCCTATCAGTATTATATTAGTATAATTTGCATCATTTGGCAGCTATTGAATTGTGATTTCCTGGCCTTTTTATTTTTAACTTTTCTTTACATTCATGAGAGCTAGTTGTAATCCTGTTTTCAAGGTCTGTCTTTAGTTTAATTCAAGTAGTTTAACCAGTTTTCAAGGAAATTTTCAATTTCCTGAATATCTGTTTGCATCTATTTCATACATTCTATTTCTTTCCTCTTGTGCTCATTCAGTTTCTCATTTTCCTGTCATTTTCCATGCTTTTTCTATCTCTACTCTAAATTTTATGAGTAATTTCTTTATCATTTTTTTAACCTGAGAGATAATTTCTGATCTTATTTCCTCTGTGGCCACATGGAATTTTCTTTACTTTGCTTGCTATCATTTCAGGTGTGTGACACATTTTCCTTTATCATTTGTCTACTGGACTTCTGCAGTGAACTGCAGTTGTGAGATTTAATTTTGCTTCTACATATTGTCATTTTTCATGTCATTTTTTTCCTGTTTTCCACTATTTCTTAAAATAATTTTATAGAGAAACAAATAGCAAAGAGACAATTTCAAAATTGACTAGTAGGACAGTTTCAATAATCAATATATTGCATATTGTTGTCTTAGTGGTTCTTCATTGTACGGGGTTCAGACATGATATCCTGTCCTTAAACACTATTAGTAAAAATCTTTCAATTTGTTGAATTAAGAGAAAGTAGCTGAATATCTGTTATATATTTATATACAGATACAAAATAGTCCTTCATTTGTACCAACTTCTTTGTTTAGATTTGTCAGAAATGGAAATTCCATTGCCATTTAAATATTGTAGGTGAATGAATTGAGCAAATATTCCAATATAGACCAGTAATATTCCAATATAGTCCATAATAGTAGTGCATTATCCATAGGACTGGCAG